GCGATGAAGACGCAATGATGGTTTAGGGGATCCTTTACTATATTAATAGATCATCGCTTGTTTTCTGCCTGTGTTAAGATCCTATTGATCACTATGTGGCTCTTAATTAAGTCTCTGTCTCCTAATTACTGCTGGGCCTCATTACCTAAATGTTCCTCTGCATTGAGATTCAGAGCTTTTTATGCAGCCTATGTACTTGCACACATGATTTGGCAAGAACCAAGTTACAAGCACAACATTGCTAGAAAGGCTTTTCCTCTCCTCTTACACAGTATCCCAGTCTGTATGATAAGCAGATCTGCTGACTGATTAGCGTCCCAGCACATACAGTATGTTGCCTGAAGCTCTGAAATAATGCCAGCTCTGTTTATATTTATTTATTGCTGAACTATACTTACACCAATGTGATTACACATTGCACATTTCAGTGATGGGATTCATGATTACTTCCAGCAGGCTGCTTTTCTTTCAGAAAGAGACAGACCGGCATTGAAATGTTTTTTTGCCATAGAAAATATAGAATGTTGCTCATTTAGCCTTACATGCTGTTGCCTTTTTTTAAGTAGACCAAGTACAGCAGGCAAAAGCTTTTTAGCCTTCAGAGGAGGAAAGGCAGTAAAAGAAAACAGGAAACTTGCAAATTCCCAGTGAATTCTCATTACGTCCCGGTATGATTTTTTAGAATCCAAGTTCAACTGTAATTTCGTGATTAAGCAAAACCAAAAGAGAGCCAGCAGGAGATTTACAAGATGATGCTAAGCAGGAGAATTCCAGATTTTCCTGGAAGCAGTTTTGTTATCCTTCAATCTAATAGCCAGTGGTGGATTTAATCTCCTCAAATTAGTCCCATGCTAATCCTCGCTAAACTCAAACAGAGGTCACTCATGTCCAATTTGAAGATGCATAAAGAACAGTTTGTAATTGCGTGTTTCAGGCCCACAGCTTGATGCTTGGTGATGAGTAATTCTCTTGCATGCTCTCTTCTCTGTGCATAGGATTCAAAATGTCTGCCTACAGTGCATACATCCACCAGACAGCTCGCAGTTGTATAAGCAAAAACTCTTCGTGCCATACCTTGTGGGCAACATTGATTTGAATTTTAATCCCTGCAGTATTATGTATCAGCATGCTGCTTTACATAAAAATATACCTGCAAAGTTTCAAAATGTTCTCTGCTCTGTTCAAACAACCCATCAAAAGGATGCGGAAAGACCAAGTGCATGAGCGACCTATTGGCTTGACAGAGCTAGCGTGTGACTTTCTATCACTATCATATCAAATCTTGGCTGTTTTTCTCCAATGTATTACAGGATTATGCTGACCTATGCCCTAATCCCCAATCAAATTTAAGCTTGATGCATTTAATTCCAAGCCTATATTTTGCCAAAGCCAAACAAGAGCATTGGATATGCTTTTGGCTCTGTGTCAGCTCTACCTTTCCTGTGCACGAGGTTTATGAAAACGTTATAGTTGCTCAAAATGAACTCGGATCTGTCATATGACAGATTTGAGTCTAAATCTAAATATTTATCTCAGAGCGATTCACTGCCACCGAACTGCAAAAACTGTCAGTTTTGGATCTTAAATCACAGAATAAACTTTATATTAATGTTGCTATTGGAGCAACATTTTTCAAACATTTTACATTCAGTTCAATTTTATTTATATAGTGCCAAATCAGAACTTTATATTGTAAGGTAAAGACCCTACAATAATGGAGGGAAAACATGAACAATCAGAGGACACCTTATGAGCAGCCACTTGGCGGAAGTGGGAAAAAAACCCTCTCTTTTAACAGGAAAAAACCTCTAGCAGGGCAAGACACAAACAAAATAGAAATAAATGGCCAGTACTGAAAACAAACCTACACTATAGGCTTCGAGTCTTTGTGAAAACAGACTTATCTCTTAAATGGCAGACACTGAGCCTTGAGCTAACAATCTGTAACCACTCTGCACTGGCTGATTTATCATAATTAAGAAGAAATTTAGACTTTTTAAATGCTGGTCTGACAAAAGTTGAAGCATTTTTAAAGAGTTTAGTAAAAGGATCAATTTGCTTCTTGCCACAATGATAAACGATTGCATAGTACATTTTATAACTCGTGCCATACAGTAAAGTCCTCAGCAGTAGTCACTTTTTTTTATTTGACCAGCTGTTCAGCTGTTGTCAGAACTCTGTTGCTTTTATTTTTAGATCTGGATTGATTTCCCTTACAGTAAACGTTGAACAGAACACAGGCATATATTAATCATTCCTCTCCATCAGCGGGATGCTCAGACACACTGCTGACTGCACGAAACAGAACGTTGCTGATGGGTGATCGAGTAGGTGCATATTAGCAAATTGAAGCGCATGGTTCTTAGTTGTCATCCTGAGCAAGGGGCCGGCTGTGTGCTACATGAAAGCTTTGCAAGTTGTGTGTTTTCTTTGTCTGCTTGAGTCAAACAGACGTACGTTCGGACCTACACTCTCCACATTCCTTCCTTTGCCCAATTTGATACAATTCATGTTTTCTTAGAAGCCTTACAGTGAGATAAAACAACAGATTACCACAAAAAAAGAAAGAAAGAGGCTGTCCAACACAGTTAATTCTCAAAAGAGAAGTTGGATGATCGAGTATGTGCAAATGCTTTCTTTTAATTATGAGAAACACTCTGTAAAGGCAATATGGAGACATTGTGCTTGTATTAGCAGAGTGCGCTTCAGTGAACCATCTCACACAGTTCAAATTTATCCTTACATATCTGCACATCACAGTGAAGGTTATCCTTTGTAATCTGGTGACCTGACCAGCGATCTACACCTGCAGCCTCTTCTTTAAAACCCTATTTGAAAAAAACAAAACAAAAAAACCCCACTCCTGCCTTGTGGCTACCTCCTGCTGCTTGCAGGCTTTTCAAAGTGATGCCGCTGCAATGCAAACCCAAATAAACTCCACATTGTGTTAATGAGCATCTACATCATTTCCTCTCTGGCCTCTCTGACTCAGCGTGACCCAAAGGTCACAGAGGCTTCCCAGCAAAGTGAGACGGTCCCTGGGAATTTGTGAGACCTCCCTGTAACCCTCGTGCGTCATAGAAATGTACCCAAAAAACTTCATCCTTATTTTTCACTCTTTTGCTTATGTATTAACTGAAAAAAGAAAGTGGAGACAGAGTGATCAGCCTTTTCCTATTTCTGCCTGGTATGAGTCATTTGCAATTCAAACAGGGCCCACTACTTCCTGTTTTCTAGTCTTGTTGCAATCCTTCAGGAGCATGCACCTCCAGAAATAGATACCTTTATCACTTCACGGCTACCTTATGCTCTGTCGCTTTCCTTATTATGTCATCAGGCTATATGTAAATATGCATGCGCACATAACAGAGGGAGAGCGAATTCTGCTAAAATAAGAGTACAGATATAGGCAGCAGAAGAGACACTGGGTGCACTGAGACAGCCGTCCTGTAAGCTAGTGGCTAATTTTAGCCTTTCATGGCAGTGCACTATATCTCCCCATGGATGAGTTGAACCATAGAGGGATCTGAGCACCAGCTCAGCCTCTTGTTCTCTCCTCTGTTCTGTGTGCGGACACTGTCCTTTATTCAGAAAGGTTACAGGGCAGTCACAATAGACCGGGGTGGAGAGAGGAAGATTAAAAGAGCCTCTAAAACACCTGGGGTTTGGTGGTGGTGGGGGTTTAACAGATGATTTTGCATACAAATGGCAAAACTGGTGCATATCAGCACAGCCTGAAGTCCATGCTCTTGCAGATCTTATTTGGGCTTATTTGGAACTAAATTATATGCAGTAGTAGTAGTGTTTTTGTTAGTGTTTAGGTGCACACAAGGACAGAAAAAGACCATAAATGACCAAGGTTTTAGATATAGAGATAAAGATACTGGTGTGTGTTGTACATATATGTTTACTTACCTGAAAATCCTTGATTTCTTGTATTATATACAAATGTAAACATTTGTCAGTAAAAGGAAACCCCCGAAACAAAAAGTTCATCAGTTCTCATTTAAAAAACAAAAGCGAAGCGACTAAATTGCCTTTATATGTATAATAGGTAGAACAGGTAATGTATGGGGAATGGAAAGACATGAACTTAAAATAGATGGTAATTACCTGAAATGTCTCAATTCAACAAACTGGCGAATGGGGCAGGTTTATTATGCAAAACGAACCAGGGGGCTGGCGGGAGGAAAGATTGAGCTTCGGTGTGAGGAAGATTATGGAATAACTAACCTGGAAATAAGTAATGGGTTTCTGATGCTAATGAGAAACTCTGAATTAAAGCCACAGCCAACCAGGCGTGAGTCAATTCTCTTCGGCCAGATCCGACGTAAATGAAACCGCTTTGCGCCGCAGACATGCTTACTCACCCCGCTGATGACTTTCTATTCTGAAACTTTCGGGCTCTGATTAAACAGCCACACCAGCACCGACACCTTTTCCAGCTCACAGCATTGAAACACACTTATGGGCTAATTATTCCAGAAGTTTGCACTTCCCCTCATCATTCACTTCACTTGCTCTGTGCTACCTACTCTAGCTCTATGTGTCTCCTCTATTGGTCAGGTTATTTTTTTTTGGAAAGCAGCCGTGTTCAGTTATGAGCAGCTCAACATCTGTGAGTGCAGAGATACATGCGCACACACGCGTGCAGGCACACACAGACGCTGAGGCACCCAAACACTTTGGAGGACAGACAGGCACACTGTGCCCTCAGCTTCAAAGGTGACTTTGTACTTTTGTGAGCGTTTTAAGTGTTTTTAATCTTTTTTTTAATCTTTTTGTGTCCCTGAAATACCAGTGCATCCAACGTTTGAGACTCTTACAGATCTAAATCTGGGCCGCTGTGTCTGTGTTGCTTACTGAAGTTTATATTTCTTCATAATGCCGTGCTTGCATTTGGCTTACGAATGTCAGAATTTGAATAAATGCTTTCGCACAACCAAGCAGATGCTGATGAGGTCTCTATCTCTCCTTTCTTCTGTCTTTCTCTTTGGCAGATTTTCCATATGACCTATGACCTGGCTAGTGCAGTGGTAAGAATATTTAATTTGATAGGTATGATGCTGCTTCTGTGTCACTGGGATGGCTGTCTGCAGTATCTGGTGCCTCTGCTCCAAGACTTCCCCCCTGACTGCTGGGTGTCCCTAAACGGTATGGTTGTAAGTATTACACACTCTTCTCTTTTGTTTGTTATTTTTGGATTTTTACTGTATAAAAGCTGTACAGCAGACTCGCTGTTTAACACCTGCCACATGTCAAGCCTATGGAAACAATCTCATTCCTATACAGCAGTTTTCTAAATCTTATTTTTTAATCAAAACCATAAATGAACAGATGTGATCAGATGCAGCCAGCTAACAATTTAAAAGTGCAGGGGTTTGTTGAAAGGGCCTTTTCTCGTAGCACTGAAATGTGTCCACCTTGTTTTTCCCCATTAAAATACACTTGCTACATCATGCTGGTAGGTAGCACTCTGTTTTATTATGTATGTAAACAACATGAGGACAGAGACACAAATATATTTTTGCAGATTTTTGTAGCACAGCTCTAGTTAGTCCTAAAATTACATTAGATTGTAACAGAGAGAGATTATAGAAATAAAGCAAAACATTGTTAAAAAAAATGGGCAGCAAAGCGAAACATTAGTCTTTTTTGACAGTGATTTGGCCTCTTTGGTATTTCTTTAAATTACTACCCATAGACTTTATAAACAGTCATGTGAAAAATAAAGTTTTCACAGTCCTGTGAAAACCTCAGCACACCTTTACTGCTTCACTAGGTAAGTAAACTCCACAGGCCTCAGTTAGCATGGTGAAAGTTGCCAGGAGGAAGCTTCTTGTCTCTAAAAAGAACACGGCAGTATGGCTTAGGTTTGCAAAGCTTCATCTTATCAAGACAAGGTGAAAGATGTTTGATAATGCACAGCGCCATATTTCTTGTAAAGCCAAACACAGCACATCAGCTCAAACACCTCATACCAATTGTCAGGCACGGTGGTGAAAGGGTGATGGTTTGGGCTTGTTTTGCAGCTACAGGACCTGGGTATCCTCCAGTCACTGAGTTGACTGTGAAGTCCTCTGTATACCAAAAGTATTCTAGAGTCAGATGTGATGCCATCTGTCCATGCAAAGCACCAACTACAACAGAATGTCTGAAAAAGAAAGGATTCAAGCTATTGCAATACCTTGAATAAGGTGTTTTTTTAAGTCCACCCTCAAAACTCACCTGTTTAAAATTGCTTATGTTTAAACCTCTGCATGCTTTTAACTTTTATCTGTTACTCTTATTATTGTGTATATTGTGTATTTGTTGTACAGTGTCCTTGGGTGCTCTGAAAGGTGCTATTTTTAAATGAAATGTATTATTATTATTAGTAGTAGTAGTAGTAGTAGTAGTTAGTAGTAGCAGTAGTATTATTAATCGTCAGCTGGTGGTCTTTTCACAATGTCTGTTCATGTTATAGTTCCAAAATAGGTTCAAAGTGAAAGTTGCAGCAGTGGCATCTTTAATGTCACCTCAACATCATTGTTTTCCCTCCTAGTAATAGAAAGTTTCTCTTTGAGAATTAATATAACTATTATCCTATCACAATAACACAAAATATCTCATCTTAAGTGTCACTCAAACCCGCTTCCTCTTCCTTTTAAGTCTTTCTTATTAAGACCTATCCTACCCAGCTATTCAGCTTCAGATGAAAAGACGAGAATTTCTGTATTTGTCAGACTAATATCAGAGACAGGACAGGGACACTATATGTCATTGTAAGAGTCCTATGTGTTAAGATTACCATCCCACATATGAAATAGAAATTGGGTGTACAAAACAGTAAATAACTAAAAAAGGTTGCTGTTTTTTTTTGTTTGTTTGCTTTTTAAATATCCCCAGTAATACTTGTCTCTGTATGTGGAAAATACTTTGTGTTCACTAACACGTGTTAAACATATTAGTTGTCATTGTTAAAAAACAAACGAATAAAAAAAGACACATGTATTTCATTTCTTCTTTGCAACGATCTGATCTGTATTTCTCACAGTCTGGTTATTGCCGTCATCCTGCAACCAGTTTAAACCAGGGGCAGGGAATACAGCAAGCATGGTTGCTGTATTTGTTTATGTTGCATAAACAAATACATGCAAACCTCAATGAACTGAAACAACGTCATTAAGGAGCATGGGCCAAATATCCTCCACAGCGATGCGAGAGACTAACAAAGCCATACGGAAATAATCACTTCAAGTTATTGCTGCTAAATGTGCTTCTACAAGCTACAGAATAATGGGGTGCACCGAGATTTTCGCAGCAATGAAAGCTTTCCTTTTCACGACTGTAAAAATGTAGCATAATGTTACACGTTACTTTGTGTATTACTGTTTTTTGTATTACTGATTGTGACTGTAAATGTAACAGTAGAGTGAGTGGCGATTGTAGAGTGTCTTGCGGCCTTAGGTGAAAATTCACAATATACATGCTGACGTAATCTTTCTAGTTACGTGTATCAGTGTATGAAAAATGTAAGCCAGTGTGTCCCCTGTGTACAGTAGACAGCTGGACAACTGGACAGTGTCAACACAGCTTATGTTTGATTTCTTTGGGGACTGTCCCCTCGTTTGGACTTTTTCTGTATCTTTCATCTTCCCTCTTCTCCTCTTGAGTTGAGGTCAAGCGGACTGTGCTTGCCCGTTTTGGACTGATGTGAGCGCGTGCGGACCTCCTGGGTAATGCTGATTGTAAATACTCCCCCACGGAGCTCTTTTGCCGTCTCCTCTCCCTCTTTCTGTGACAAACATTTCTGTGCTGCACGAGCGCACGAACTGTTTAGAGGCATCATACCGGAGGTGCAAATGTCAGCTTTTATAAACGTCACAGCTCTCATCTTTACTTGGAGGCAACGAGTTGCCCAAGTGCGTTTGATACCAGCTAGCATGTGTTATTCATCCAAACAGACATTATCCATCTCTGTTCGCACCAAAGGAATTTGCACTGATGTAATTTCCCACAGAACTGTCACAATTCATCCTTGTTAATGGTAACTACGGGCGAACATCTCCTCAGTAACCCAGATTCTTAAACTTCCTTTTAAACAACAACACTCTGGGTTCATAATTACTTGTCGCTGTAAAACTTAATGATAAACATCTCCTTGCATGCACGCTGCGTGTTGCTGATCTTACTGAGAATAAAGCTGGTACATCCTCCTCCTTCTATGCAAATCAATATCAAAGGGAGATGGTGTACAAGCCTAATTTGGTGCCCCCCGTGTGGCTATAGCTGCAGCCTGCAAAAATTGCCTCTAAAACAAATAAGGCATAAATCAGTGCTAGAAGCCTGTGGGTGAGCTGTTATGACACGAAACCCTTTCTCCAAGCTGTATTCACTTGTATGTAGCTAAAACATTGCAAAGATGGCTTTGTATGTTTGTTTTACACTTTCTCTGATGGGTTAGCTACTTGCTGGTGAATTGACACATCCTAAACTCTCTCAAGCAGCTTTCTTGATATTTCCTCAGGAATAGATATCCAGGCTTCTTGAAACTCTTCTTTGGATATTAACTACCTTTTTGTTCTGTTCTCTGTTATGATGATCCCACACTGCTTCAGTAATGCGCCAGTCTGAGCTCTAGGGAGACCAATCCATCGTGTGTTTTCCCATCCTGATATGCTTTTATACTGTATCAGCACCGCGTTTGGGATCATTGTCTTTCTATAAATGAAGCCACTGTCAATCAGATGCTTTATGCATGATATTGCAAACAAGCTCAAAATCTGATGGTACTTTTCTGCATTAATTCCACTGTTGTACCTCTCTCCTGACCTCCTCTTGCAGTCAGTCTCAGATGGCTTAACAAACAGAACAAATGGAAAAATCGCTTTAAAATGGCCATGCACAAATACTCAGGGAAAAAGCAGTTTTGGAGACAATAGGTCTCCAAAGCGTAGAGACCTATTGTTGAAGAGCACTTTTAAAGAAACAAATTATAAAGAAATAAAGGGGTCGTCTGAATTCTGCACAGTGCTGTATATTATTTACAAATATTCATACAAATTTGCAAATCTAGTTTGGGTCATCAAATATGTATTTGTCTGTAAGTAATGAGGGCAATTTTTATCCCGCTGAGCCGCTTACAGCTGAACCAAATTCATCTTGCCCTTTAAAAAAACATTAAGGAGCATATGAGTTCATCAGTGAGTGCCAGTATTATGTTTGCTTTTACATTTAACCAAAAGCAGGTGTCCTACACATGATAATTGTTACTCTTTGTCAAATTTCTAAACGACAAGGCTAAGAATGCTGAAATCTTAGAAGAGAAGGCTATGTACACTCCAATGACAGAAAGCCACAAAGAACGTGAAACTGTGGAAGTATATATTCATAATTTTCTGGATAGCTTTAAGATTTTTTTCTTCTCTGTTTTATGAGGGGGCGATCCTAAAAATAACTCACAAAGAAAACCACGAGGCATTTTAGAGGTAAAATCTGTTTAAGCCAGTGGTACTGTAGATATCTGCACATGAGCAGCTAGCATAGTGTTACTGATGGTGATGTGGCAGAATGGGCAATTTGCAGAATCTCTTCCCTGTGGATCTGTGCAGAAGTGCAAGCCTGTGCACTGACTGCTGTCTGGCAAATCCAAAGTGATAAGGCCAGCTCGCATATGGGATTCCTCTTCTCACACCATCGCAATGCATTAGCATTCACAAGTTGAAAATCAGGATAAGGTATCTTTTCCTCCGTTTGCTGTGTTTGCTGCAGGTATAAATAAACAATACAGTTAAACGTTGTCATCAAGAGGTTTGTCTTTGTCTCTGTCCAAAAAAGGAGAGCTTTAAAGCCATATATTGCATCATATTTTTTTCTGTTGTTGGCTCCGTGCTTTCAGTCTCCAGCTGTGAGTAGAAGAGTGAGGGCAACAAGGGCTGCAGATACTGCTGAGTGGTGCTGTGCACAGTCTAGGCCTGTTATCTTCCTGACTAATGGTCTGAGAGTAGCTTCTTACTCTTTAGAGGCTGCATTTACTTAATCACCAAACAAGATAATGCTGCTGTCACTATGTTGGCTCATGTTGGAAGGTGGTGGGCTGTGGTATTGGATAGGCTGTTGTACAGCTTAAAGATGCATGTGTTGGAGCATTTGTGAGTGTATGTGTGTGCCTACTGTTCCT